CCTGAGCGCTGACCACGGCCGGAGCGCCACGCCGAGGAAGGAGGGGCCCTCGGGGCAGGCTGGAGAACAACAGGCCACGCGTGTTCCCGGTGGGCACCCACTGACGACACTGGCGAGGACGACGCCCCTCGGAGCCCAGCAGAACGGCCGTCCCAGCGCAGCGATGACCTGGAGGTGAGCCCTTCCCCGGCTGGTCCGAGAGTCCAGGCTCCTGACCGGGCAGCCCTCGCCCCCCACCCCCATGCAGAGCCCACGCTGGGGCCTGGCGTCCGGGCACACATGGCTTTGGGCAGCCTCGTCTCCACCCCGCCTGCACCTGGGCCGCCTCTGGGGCTTCTTTGGGAGACTGGGCTGTGCACAAACTCATGTCACACCTGTCATTAAAGTCGTGTCAGCTGCTGCGTTGGTGGCAAACAGTGCACCCATCAGGGTGCCCTGAGCCAGAGGCCACGCCCCAACTCCAGCACAGGGGCCCGCTGTGCTACTCTAGGCCCATGTCTTAACCTCTCTGGGCCTCAGTTTCTTCCTTCGAGCCCTAAGTCTATTAGATTAGAACACTGGTTCTCAACCTGGAATGGTTTTGCCCACCCCGGGGGGACAGGACACAATGTCTGGAGACAGTGCTGGTTGTCACCACCAGGGGGTGCTGCTGGCGGCTAGAGGGTAGGGGACAGGGATGCTGTTCAATGTCCTACACTGCACAGGATGGCCCCGCGGCAGAGAAGGACCCCGCCCAGACGGCCAACAGCACCTCGTGGAGAAACCTGGACGAGATGAATTCCCGCCGCTCCGAGCTGACGCTGCCCAATGATCAGGACAAGCACAGGGGCAGGACTCCAACTGTGGGGGTGGAGGTGGCTCACTGCCCCTCCTCCACTGTGCGAGAGGCCTCCCAGTGAATCCAGGGCCCCCCCCCACGGGGCTCCCACGGAAGCTTCCTCCCACTCTGGTGGCCCAGCCCGGGGCAGGGGGGAAGGTAGCTGGGAACTCAGGGGTCAGAACGTGAGGCTTGGGGCTCCCCAGTGTCAGGTGACTACGGAGGCACAGACCTGAGTTTCCTTCACGGACAGCCCTGCCGTCCAGGCTTCTGGGGGACAGGCAGGGGCCCCCAGCAGGCTGACACTACGGGCCTTCCACAGATGGCCACTGGGCGTTTCGGGAGACAGGGAATGCAACATTGTGTATTACCTCTTCCCAGAAACCTGCGTGCCCCTTGCAGACCGGTGCTGGGACCAGACCCGCACTCCACACAGGGTCTGGGGTGTCCACCAGTCACAGAGGCCCTGAACCCCACCTCCACCCGCCCCCCGAGGCAGAGCTGGCGTCCCACTGCAGAGCATTCTCCGGGTCTCTGGTATGCACTCCCCTTCGGCTTTCCCTTGTGATCTTTCAATCCCAGCAGCCTCTTGGGAGGCACACAGAGGTGCTCAGGAATGAGACAATGAAACAACCACTTGTTCGTTCTTGGGAGACCGCCGTTGGTGCACGCCGACAGAGGAGAGCTGACGGCTGGGCGCGGGGGCTGCACGCTGCCTGCAGGGGGCGCCACAGCACAGGCCCGCAGGCACGCACGGTCCCTCAGAAAAGACCCCCGCTCCGCATCCCGCCAGGTGCCCTCACCATGGCGGGCGGTGCTGGGAGGCGTCCAGGAGAACCCCCGAGTGCCTCGGCATGCGCGCTGTGGTTTCTTCCTGCCACGTCTCAGCACTTTCACCTGCCCTCCCCGGGGACCTCCTCCCCCCCCTCCCCGCCCCTCCAGCCTGCATCAGCACCTACAGGGTTTCCCCGAGACTGTCCAGGGGCTGGGCCTGGGCTCTGTCCTGCAGCCCAAGTATCCGGAGAACCACTGAGGACTCGTCGAAGGTCACTGCCTCACTTTGTACACGGAAATCATCAGATGCATGACTGACTTAAATGTAAAAAAAAACTCAAACCCTGGCTGGCATAGCTCAGTGGATTGAGCGCGGGCTGGGAACCAAAGTGTTCCAGGTTCGATTCCCAGCCAGGGTACATTCCTGGGTTGCAGGCCATAACCCCCAGCAACCGCACATTGATGTTTCTCTCTCTCTCTCTCTATCTATCTCCCTCCCTTCCCTCCCTAAAAATAAATAAATAAATAAATCTTAAAAAAAAAATTTAAAAAAAAAACTCAAACAAACAAACAAACAAAAACACCCGGGAAAGTACAAAAAAATGTAGGAGAATTTAATGTGTAGAAGTCCTCTTTCACCAGATATAAAACCTAGAAGCTACTAAGGAACAGACAATAAAGTTGACCTCATAAAGATGAGTTTTCTGCCCAGAAGAAAAATAAAGGCCAGTGCCCAGTGACCGGCCCACTCACAGCTGGCACACTGGGTCGCCGGTCACCGTCGGGCTGGAGGCCCCAGGCGCACGTCCGGGGACCAGGCTCTGCCCTGACGAGAGGCCCCTGCACGCCCCTGGGACCCGGGGCCCTCGGGGAACGCCGATCCTCGAAGGCAAGAACCAGCGCGTGGTGGGTGACCGGGAGACCGCCTGCCCCCCAGGAGGGCCCAGGGGCACGTCCCTGAAGATGTGGGGAGCCTTCAGGTGGAAAAGGCTGATGGCCAGGTCAGGAAAGGGACGGAGGGGTGGCCAGGCCGTGAGAAACGTGGGGCAGACGATGAGACACGGGGGAGGGCGTGAAGCGGGAGGCCGGCCAGTGCGCTCGGAGGAAGATGAGTAATTACAGACACACGGACGACCGGGAGCGGTCTGGGCAGGCCACCCGACACCCCATCATCCATTGTCTGAGCGAGTAGCGATGAGGTGTGGGGGCAGGGGTGAGGGAGCAGGAGGCTGTGGGAGGGACAACAGAGTGAGAGGGAACATTTTTATTTTTTTAAGACTTTATTTATTTAATTTTTAAAAAAGATTTTATTTATTTATTTTTAGACAGGGAAGGGAGGTAGATAGAGAGAGAGAAACATCAATGTGTGGTTGCTGGGGGCCATGGCCTGCAACCCAGGCATGTGCCCTGACTGGGAATCGAACCTGCGACACTGGTTTGCAGCCCGAGCTCAATCCACTGAGCCACGCCAGCCAGGGTGTATTTATTTATTTTTAAACAGAGGAGAAGGAAGGGAGGGAGAAAGAGGGAGAGAAACATCACTGTGTGGTTGCCTCTCACGTGCCCCCCACCGGAGACCTGGCCTGCAACCCAGGCCTGTGCCCTGACTGGGAATTGAACCGGCGACCCTGTGGTTCCCAGGCTGGGGCCCTCAAACCACTGAGCCACACCAGCCGGGGCAGAGGGGACTTTTTCCCTACTTTACTCCCTCTTCTTCTGTTTAAAGTTTCACCACGAGGAAGTACGCTCTTGGGATACAAACCAGTTATTTTCTGAAAAGCGACTCTAGTCGCTGAAGACCGTGTTCGCCACACGGCCGAGCCACATCCGCACGCCCAGTTAACCAGCCCCCCCCCACCCCGTCTGAGGTGGGACTGCGGCGGCCGAGGGCTGGGCTGCAGGTCAGCCCAGGTCGTCTTTCCATCCTGTCCCCCTCTCCCCTGCTGAGTTTTTATTTATTCCACCCCCAGCGGTTTTCCCGTCACTAGAAGGGAGCCCGGGCAGGTCGGCTGGGGGACTCGCCCCACGGGCACCGGGCTGTTCGCACCGCTCGCCTCTCGTGGCCGCCCTCCGCACTCGCCGGCTCCCGAGGGGCTCGGCCCTGGCCCGGCCGCTGTGCTGGCTCCCCACCGGGCACCTCTGGGCTCTGCAGGGGGCCCCCGCGCCCGGACGCCCCGCTGTGTGACTTGTCGGCCCTGTCACCAGGAGGGCGGTCTGCGCCTCCATTGGGAGCTCACGGGGACACGCCGTCCCCGGGGTTCGCTGTGGTGCTGGGGTGTCGGTGACAGACCGCCGCGTCCCCTGCCCCTGCGTGCACAGTTCAGCCCTCCGCGGGCTTCGGGTTCCGCAGTCTCCATGTGGGGACACCGCCACTGACGCCCCAGGATCCCCGGCCGGCCAGACCCTGACCTGTTCAGACGCCCGACTCGCAGGTCGGCCTCGTGACGCCAGCCAGAAGGCCCCTGCCCCGCCTCGAGCACCGGGAGGCGCCCCCAGCCCCGGCCCCGGCCCCGCCAGCGTTCTGCAGGACTGCGGGGGGACGGCGGGCGTGTGAGGAGGGGCGCGGAGGGGAGCTCGGGTGGCCGCTGTGAAGACGAGACGACGGTCTCGGGGACACTCAGGGGACGCCCCTCAGGGAACAGGTGCTCACCTGGTGTCCAGCGGCCTCTGGCTGCCACCGTGAGAACAAGAAGGCTGGGGAACAGCAGGCCGGACCCGACGACAGGCGGACACACACTAGAGCGTGGGGGGGGGGTGTTCATGCAGCGGCCTCGCTGCCCCGCCCCCCCGCCCCCCAGGAACTGCTGAGTCACCGTGAGTCATCATGGCGCCGAGGTCGGAAAGAGCGCGCCAGCCACTGAGACCCCTGGGGACACACTCCTGCCTGCGGGCACGTTCGGGCAGCACTGGCTCCCCACCCCACGTCCCAGCCAGTCCCCTGGGCCGGCTCCCACCGAGGACAGACGCCCACCAGGGGAGCGAGCGACAGCACAGCTCCTGAGGGGGAGGCGGGCAGGCCGGCGGGGAGCCGGGGATCAGGCGGCCCAGGTTTCTGAGGGTGCGGGCCTGCCCGTTCTACCTGCTCCGAGCCCGCTGGCTGCGGGAACCGCTGCATCGCTGAGGAAGCATCGCACCAGGCATCGTGCCGCTGTTCCTGTTTGACTCTGACCTCGTGCAGTTTAAGAGGAACGGCTGCAGCTCCTCTGGAAGTGGGGGGCCCTGGGGGCCCCGGGCGCCCTGCCCGCAGGGCGGTGCACGTGTGTGCTGGGACTTCCGGGACACCCTGGGGTCCCCCCCACCCTGCACCAGGCTCGGGCTCCAGCCTCCCTCCGCCCTCCCCGCAGTCGCCAGGGCCCCTGAAGAGCGCCACCTCTTCCAGGGAGACTTCACAGTAACAAAAAGACGTCTGTTTTCTTTAAACAGTTCACATTTATTATTGATAACAATAAAAAAATCTTGTAAAGACTATCAGTATTGTATTACCAAGAGTGAGGTAATATGTTTACAAAACATTTACAGAATCTGATACGTAAATAATGCGTCTGGTGGCGGGGGGGAGTGAATGAAGACACTCGTCGCGGGGGGGCACCCGAAGACCCCCGAGTGCCGGGAGAGGCGGGAGGACAGCAGCCATGGCGGGCGTGCGGGGCACCGAGGGGACCGATGGGCAGGCTCGCCCGCGCCGCCCAGGCCCGCACCACGGCTCCCGGGCAAGGAGAGTGGCCGGGCGATGCGCGAGCGGCCCGCAGGCCCCGGCGCGGTCCTGTGCTCTGAGCTCTCAAGGACGCGCCCAACCCCGGGAGGTGACCCAGGGCCACTTCTGAATCGACTTAACAAGGACAGATCTTCAGACTGGGGGAGGGGCTGGCCGCGGCCCAGACAGTTCTACAACGTCCCCGGGCTGCCTGCCGTGGGCTGTGCAGGGGAGCGGTCTCTCGGCAGCTGTCAGCAAAATCGCCATCTGAGACACACACACAGAGAGAGGGGGGGGAGAGAGAGAGAGAGAGAGAAGGGACCCCCCTCAGGCCCTCGGGACTTGGAAACAAGAAGCGCCAACTGCAAGCAGCAACGGGCCCTGCTGTGCCTTCCGGAAGCGGCCTCGAGGTGCCGACAAGGAGCCGCTCTGCGCGGAGCCAAGGACCGGCCGCGGGCCAGAGCGGGCACCTCCCCGACCAGGAGAGCGGGCCGCCCCGCTCCTCCCGAGCCCCCCCGGACACCCCCCCAAACGCCTTCAGCGCGGACCGCGACGACGCAGCCCAGGACCTGTGGCCCGGCACCCACCCCCAGCATCACAGGCTCCGCCTCTGCCGCACACGCCGCCGCTCTCACGCCCATCACGAGAGCAACCCGGTGCAACACGGGCAAGTTCGCCAGGAACCGGCCTTTCCCGTGAAAAGCCAAAAACTGACAGCCGCCGTGAGACAGAACAGGCTTTACAGGTGGGAATAAAGGAAAATGTAAAAAGCAAACCAATTCCCTATCTGCTTGGTTCCCAGGAAGAATCTCGTTACACGGACCAAGGACCCTCGCAGAGCACGCCGGCCCCACACGGCCACGCCCACACGCACACGCGTGCACCCACGCTGGGAGTCCACGTCCTTCTACAGAGACGCGGGCGGGGCTCCGACGAGCCTCGCACCTCCCTGAGGCGGCCAGCCACGCCGCTGTGAGACCCCTGCTCAGCCAAAGTGAGCGAACCCCAGACGGCTGCCAGGTGGCCCACCCCCCGGGGACGCGGAGGACCACCCGGGCTCTGAGGCCGTGAGGCTCAGGGGGCGCCGGGGAGGGGCGTCGGGAGGAGCTCAGCACGGCCAGCGCCGGCAGGAGCAGCAGCGCCAGGGGAAGAGGGAGAGGGCGCCCAGGGAGAGCCCGCCCTGGAGGCGCTGAGAAGACGGGAAGGGGGGTGGGGGGGTGGGGGGGGTGGAGAGACGATCAATCGTGCTCAACGATGGCGGTGTCTTTCTGGCGCCACGGGAGCCCCTTGACCCACCGGCACCGACGTGAGAACCACGAACCCGCCCGCCAGAAGCCAGGCTGCGGCTCCCCGGGCTGCCTCCCGGTCCTGCCAGCCGGGGCGGCGCCCGTTCCCCCGGCAGCCGGCGGGCTGTCACTGTGCGCAGGCGGAAGGAAGGCGGGGGTGACGGTGGGGGGGGGGGTGGTGCAGGTCAGAGGCTCCCGCTCCATGCGGGAAGGTGAGGCGGCCCCCGCAGGGCGGGGCAGGGGCTCATCCGCTATCGGACGGCGTGGAGGTTGTGTGGAACATTTTTTGCATCGATACTTGAGACAGAGTCAAGCTCTCAGTTAGTACATAAACGACTTTCTTTCCCGAGAGCCCTTGCGCTCTGGTCGGACTCTGTGCGGGCCGCGTACAAAATCTATGGCTATTGAGTCGGAGTCAGAGTCAGAGCTGCCTGTCGAGGCGGCGTTGGGGTCAGCGCCTACATCTACCATCTCGAGCGCTACCTGCTACCTAGGGGTCGGAGGCGTCTGCACACTGGCCGCCGGGCGCGCGGCGTGCCGGGGCTGTCCGAGGCGGCGGCAGTGGCGGTGGCGGCGGCGGCGGCGCAGCACTACCTGGAAACCATGGAGCTGGAGTGGGACTGGCTGGAGGAGGTGGTGGCCGCGCTCAGCTGGGAGAACCCACTGTGGCTGGACTCCAGGCTGGTCATGGAGCCTCTGCAAACAGCACAGCGAGGGGACGAGGCGTGAGGACCGGCAGCCCCCATGCTTCCCCCCAGCCCTGCTCTCTGCCCCCACAGCTCTGCAAGCCCCGCCTCCCCACCAGCAGCACTGGCAGAGCAGGACAGCCAGGCAGGGGCCCCGGGGACGAGGCTGCCCACTGCCCTTGGGCACAGGCAGCACTGTGACCCGGCATCGAGTGGCCCAAAGGCCACTCCCGCCCGCACCCAGGTCCCCGCCGCGCCAGAGCCCGCACCGGAAGTCCTCGGACCCGATCACTTCGGTGTAGTACATCACTTTGCACTTGTGCGAGGAGACCTGCAGCGAGGCCAGCACGTCATCCACGCGGGGCAGGCTGGTGGCGGCGCAGGCCGGCATGCTGTGGAACCGCCACTGCAGGATGTAGAAGCCCGGCCACCGGGTCACGTGGGAGCCCTGGAACGAGTGGGGCGGAGCCGGCTGAGGCGGCCTCCCGCGGAGCCCCGGCCGACGGCGGGTCCGGCAAAGCCGAGGGAGCCGCCGTGGACTCGGCAGAGGTCCCTGGGCATCTGGACAAGTGAAGGGCCTGCTACTCGGGGTCATTAGCAGGGTCGGTCCCAGCCAGGCGTCTGCCAGGTGACAGCCGGTGGCACTCTGACTGTGCCTGCCCCACAACCAGGAGGGAAGGCCTCATGCGGGGCCTTTACTGGGCCTTGAGAAGGTCAGAAAGGGCACCTGGACCAGGCTCCCAGTGATCTGACCAGCACGTTCTGGGTCAGGAGAATGGCCATCTAAAACCAAACGTCAGCCTGTGAGAATCACCTCCTCCATCAACTCTGGAATTGAAGGCTGCAATGCAGCTGAACACCGTGAGGGCAGCCACCCCGCATCCGCTGTGTGGGGCAGAGGCGCCCAGAGCTGCCGTGCCGAGCGCGCGCCCTCCCCCTGGGGCGCTCCAGTGCACACTCGCGGAAGAAAACTTTCGGACTTGGGGCAGGAGTTGTGGATTCTGTCCCCAACCCCCTCGGGTCTGAGTCCTCCCCCCCCACCCCCCGAAGCCTCGCTTGGCTCCTGGAGTCTCCCGGATGGAACTGGACCCGGACCCACCCAGCCAGCGTCCCACTGACAGGTGGCGGGGCTGGGCAGGGCAGGAGTGAGCGAAGTGGCGGACCCCTCCCCGAGACAGAGCCGGAGCGCCGCGGCGGCACGGCCGGCCTCGCTCACCTGCACGCTCTCGCCCTCCCTGCACGTCAGGGGCGACTCCACCATGCTGTAGTCGCGGCCCAGCTGCCAGGCCCTGTCTATCAGCTGTACGTTATTCCCCCCTGGGGAGGTGATGCTGTGCGCCCCCAGCGAGTCCTTCTTGGGGGGCTGCGGGGACCTCTTGGAGTGGTAAATGTTGAAGACGATGTCCCCTTTGCACACGTCGAAATCCCAGGTGATCACCGAGGAGGCGTCCACGATCTGAATGAGAATCTGGAAGCAGAGGGGCTGCGTCAACCACCGAGGCAGCGCGGGCCTGGCTGCACCGCGTCGGGGGGCGGCATGTCCCCTCAGCGGATCTGCACGCACGGTCACCGGCCACCGTCCAGGCTGCCACTCTCAGGCTCCTGCTCCGTGTCCCAGGCCGGTCTGTGTGCACCACTAGCTACACGTGCCGTCCACGACTTCCGTGACCCGCGCTCACGGCTGCACTCTGAAACACCCAGTCCCGACTGCAAACCACATCTCAGCAGGACAAAGAGGGCAGCCCTGGCCGGTGGGGCTCGGTGGGTGGGGCATCACCCCACAACCTGAAACCCTGTGGGTTCAGTCCCTGGTCAGAGCGCTTACAAAGACAACCAACCGATGTCTCCCTCCCTTCGCCCCTCTCTGAAATTGACGAGCATGTCCACAGTGAGGGCTGGAAACACACAGAACACCAGGCACGATGGCGTGCAGGGGGCCCGACCGGCGACCGGGGGGCCCAGGGCAGGTGGGACTCAAACCAGGAGCGCAAGGGGAGGGAGGAAGCGTCCTGGGGAGGCGCCTCTGCTCCCAGTGGGATGGTGGCGGCGGGCTGGAGACACAGGGGTGGGGGCGGGGCGCCGGTCTGAATCTGCTCTGTATCGGCGGCGCCCGTTTGGAGTTTCCCCGCAGGGAAAGAGCAGAGTCACAGTTCCACAGGATCGCTGTGGGCGGGACTGAGAACTAAAACCAGCTGGGACAGCTCTGCACTCACTCAAACTCCCAGCAGCAGCCAGAGCCGCGTTCCCTCCCTCCACGGCGAGCCGTCCCCCCCGCACCCAGCACAGCGCCTCCGTCGAGCCCACCGCACCACTGCCTTTTCTCGCTGCCGAGACGCCGCCGCGGGGCGTCTGTGCAGAGCAGGCCCCACAGAGCCTTGAGGGTCCCATCTGGGGACAGCGGTGGCCCTGAGGCCCGGCGCACTCGCCCTCCCTCGCCCAGTGGCTCCCCAGGCGGCTCCCCTGACATGAGCCCCCAGCTGACAAGCACCCCCTTCCCGCCGGCACAACGGGGACGTTTACTCCGGCCTTCGTTTCGGGGCGGGGGGGGGGTGTCACTGTCCTTGGTCTGTGCTTCCCCGAGCCCCACGGCGGAAACGGAGTTCTTGCTGCTCCGACGCAGAGACCCGGCGACCCACTTCCACAGACACCCTGGGACTCTCCAGCTCTGCACCGAGGACAAGGGCGACGGTGACCTCAGAGGGGACAGACAAGCACCCTGCCTCCTGGAGCCAGCCTCCTCGTAAGAAATACGACCCGTCCTCCAGACACAGGAGCAGAAACCTGAGACCCCTGCCGGGTTGGGGCCGAGGCAGAGCAGGTTTTCACGGCGGCCGGCTCACGCCACAGCAGCACCCCCGCCCGCCCCACCGCTGACGGGCAGACCATCCCAGAGACACAGCAGCAGGACAGACAGCAGCAGGACAGACGGCAGCGGCCGAGCGGGGCGGCTGCTCTGGCAGGAGGCGACCCGGGCTCCGCTCCCCGCCACGGCCACGGGCCAAGCCAGGAGCCCACCCTCTCCGGGGCCACTGTGGAGGACCGCCGTCCCCTCCGCAGCTGGGGTGCAGGAAAGGGCGACGCGGCTGTGAGTCCCTCACGCCTCAGGTCACCACGATGTCCCGGGACGTGCAGTGAGCACAGTCATCCAGGAGCACCCTTGCCTCTGCACCACAACGCGACAGCAGAGGAGAGATTTCTCCTCGCTCCACTAAACCAAAAAAGATGGACACGTTTCTTTAAAAATATAAATAACCGAAACCCAGCCAACACCACAGAAAACAAGGCTGGTCCCAGGTAACCAACTGTAAATGAGCCAAACCTGTGAGCCGACCCACTGCACCCAGCCCCGTGTGCGGGCCCCACGGCCGGCAGGAGAACCCGCCCCCAGCCCCCTGCACAGCTGCTCCCGGTGCCAAGGGGCCTGTGTGACCAATCCGACGACGGAGAGGAGACCGGCCGGAGCGTCGGCGCCCCCGAGCCAAGTCCCCCGGAGACCTGCCAATGAGCTGTGGGGTCCGAGTCGCCCAGTGCCCGCCCACCCGCCGGGGCGCGCACCTCGTGGGGGGCTCCCTTGAACACGCTGGCGGACTGGTAGATGGTCTCGGTCCAGAGCTTGAGGTCCTCGTTCTCCAGCTCCTCCGCCGTCCGGTACAGAGACTTGGGCACCAGGCCGCCCTCCGGCACTTCACACTGGAAACGAGGACAACGCAGCAGTGAGACCGGGGTCACGCACCAGGTCCCCGACCGTCCAAGAGCACCTGACGTGCTGAGGAACGGGACCCCGGCGACCCCACTGTAAAACCCCCCTGAACTCCTGGGCCGTGCTTCACGCAACCGGGAACGAGCGGGAGCTGACTGGCCCCAGAGCTCACACTGGTGTGTGCGAGGCACGGAACCCAGTCCCTGACGCTGGTTCCTGGAAGAACTGCGATGAGAGCCCAGCCTGCGCTGCACAGGAAAATGCTGTGTTCAGTAAGGGGGGTGTGCTCAGCGGCCGCAGGCGTTGTTTGCATCACGTGTGACCGCGGTCTAGTGTGCAGTCGGCCACGAGCCCCGTGCCGGTCGGTGACGCCGGCCACGGGACAAGGAGGCAGAGCAGCTCCCTGTCCGCCAGGGACAGGCCCCGCCAAGCCCGCGTTCGCAGCCTCGCCTGCTTCCTGCCCAACCCTGCACCACGGCTTCACTGCCATCCCGGCGGTGACCGCACGGGGCGCCAACGTGACCGGAGCCCTGCGGCGGCCGGACGTCCCACCAGACGTCACGCTGACGCGCGGGGAAAACCTCGCGCAGGGAAGCGGGAGTGAGGCCGCCTCTTCCGCAGCAGCAGCAGCGCGGAGGGGAGAGAAGCCTCCAAGGCCACAGTGCGGTGACCTCCCTCAGCTGCGGGGCGCCCTGTGGGGGCGTCACGGAGTCAGAGTGACAGACACAGGCACCGCGGTCAGGACGCAAGCCCGCCGTCCGCTCCAGCCCAGCGCTTCTGCCCCCGCGAGGAGCGACCACGTGGTCAGAGGCGCTCTAACGCGACCTCAGCCGTCTGCGGGCGACCCTGACCCTGACCTCAGCGGGACGTCAGGGCCACTCGGAAAGCGAGGGTCCTGCGACCTCCCTGTCCCTCTGCGCGGCGCTGTGACACGCCTACGATGCCTGACGGCAGAAGCGCTGACTCGGGCGGAGTCTGAGGGCTGTTCAGACCCCTCTGACCGCCCGGACAGGTCTCCCCAGAAGCGCGCCGCGATGGCGGATCACGTGCGCCACGCACATGCGCCCCAAAAGGGAACCCCATTCCCCGTGAAGAACGGGCGAGCCTTTCTCTCCTGAGACCCTGGCGGGGACGCCGCCACCCCTGGTGGCTTGGGCCGTCCCTTCGGCCCCATCTGGGGCCTCTCCAGGCTCCAGCGTCCCTCACCCTCACGCCAGGCAGGGGAGCCCCAGAGGCGGGGGGTGCTCAGGGGACTAAACCCTCTTCACAGTGAGGGCAGAAAAACGGAGGCGGCCGCCTGACAGCCTGACGATCCAATTATTAAAAATCCCAAATCGCATGTGAGAGAACTAATTCCCTTCACTCATCCCCTTTAACATACTATCCTGACTCCCTGTCAGCGGGGAAACGTTTCCGAGAACCGCTTTGATATTTCAATAGCGTCTTTAAAAACGCGCAGCTCCTCCCCCCAGTTAAAACATCGGCTTCCCACAAGCCGAGGGAAGCCCGCCAGCGGCGATCAGGGCGGATCCTGGGACAAGCTCTCGCCAGATTCAGCGACGAGGAAGTGTGCGTGTTGTCAAAAATTACCTATACGGTGGGTCCGAGAGATGCTAGCCCAAGACGATAAAAACCCAACACTCGAAGCTGGAAATTCTGAAAATCGTCTGGGCCCCGGCACACACGCAGGCCCCGCCCACAACGTGCACATAGGCCCCGTCCCACAGCCCGCAGGCCCCGCCCCGCGGCGTGCACACAGGCCCCGCCCACGACGTGCGCACAGGCCCCGCCCCGCGGCGCGCCCGCAGGGACCCACCATGCACTCCCCGCCCAGGAAGTCGGGGATGATCTCCTTGTCGATGTAGTCCAGCAGGCCCCCGGGGCCCTGGTAGTCGTTCCCCGCGTAGATGAGGAACTTCCTCCTGGTGTTGTCGTCGATGAAGGGGCTGACCTGCGAGGAAGAGAGACGCCGGTACCCCCTCTGCCTGCCGCCCGACCCCCGGAGGTCCGAGAGACAGGCGGATGTTGTGCGGGAGGGGAGGGGACTGGAGTTTGGGGCGCGTCTTTGTGAAGTCCGTTTGCATGGCGTTAAGACACTCGGGAGTTCTCTCTTCCCTTGAGTGATCTGAGAAATGTTATGTCTTCCAAGTTAGCTTTGTTTGTTCTAACTGGCCGGGACTTAAAGGCGCAGACACGTGGACACGCGTGCGTGCGTGCAGCGGCAGCCAACCCACCAGCGTCCAGAGCACGGGGAACACGCGGGGGGCGCGCAGGATCAGCAGGCGGCCCAGCGTCTCGGGGTAGTTGGCCTCCACCACCTCGATGATGCGCAGCAGGGCCTTCACGCCGGGCCTCCACAGGTGCCGCATGTTCAGCCCCTCCAGGTCCACCAGGCAGGTCCAGGAGCTGCAGGCGGGCAGACCGGTTAGTCCGCGGACCCTCGAGGGGCACACCGGGCCCCGGAGCTACGCTTTCTTCCTGGTGTCACAGAGCAGCCGTGACAAGGCAAAACCCGCACCCCTGGGCTCCCCAGGACCACGCGACTAAGAGGACAGGCCTTGCCCCTCAGCTGGGGGGGGGGGCGGCGGCAGGGGGCAGGGCGAAGGAACAGCAACACTGACCACATTATAGGCTTATCTATCTCCTACCTTTCCGAACACCACGGGAAACAGTAAAGTATTTAGGCTTGGCTCTAAAACTCTACAAATCAAACCAGATTTGCGTTCTAACAATCAGCGAGAAGACACGTTTGAGTCCCATTCTCGACGAGCGGTGGGGGAGGAGGAGCGAGGTCGCGCACCCACCTGATGGGCCGGCCGAAGACCTTCGTGTTCTCCTCGCAGCGCCGGAGCCCCTCCTCGTTGATGGAGAGCACCTGTGCGGGGGAGGCCCGGGGCCCCGTCAGCAGAGGACGGCGTCCCTCTGCGCCGATGGCGCGACGCACTCAGGGTGAGCATGTGAGCCGAACAAGTCACCCGTTCAGCTTTTCTGATACACACAGACACCCCTGACAGGGAACGGCTCTCTCCAAAAAGCCTGAGTGCTGTGCCCTGTGGCTAAAGTGACAGCTACCCCGGGGAGGTCACAGTCAGGGGACCGCCCCCGACGGGCAGGGAGGGCGTGACCTGCTGCCGTGTCTTCAGAACAAGCACCTCCGGAGCCGTGGGGCAGGTGTCCGCTGAGAGGGGACACTGGGATGCCGCACGGACCAGCCAAGGGGAAGGCGGTGTCAGCTGACCCCAGGCACGGCTGCAGGGCACACCGTTTGCAGGCCAACCCTCCCCCGTGCCAGCGGCCCGTCCGCACAGTTATGACCTTTCTGCACACACGTGTGCGTGTGGGGACGCCTACATGCACAAGCCCACCCACAGTGGCCGCAGCTCCACAATGAAATGCCACCAGTGGGGGCCTCAGGGCAACGGCATGATCGCCGTGCCTTCTGGAGCTGCCGTGTTTCCGTGTCAGGGCCTCGTTCTCCCTTCGGAGCCGCCCGCCCTGAAATGGCTGCAGTGGAGAGGGCCTGAGTCGGGCACCGGGGGAGAGGCGTGCACCTCGTCCGGGACGGAGGAAGTCCCAGGGGGAGACTACTGCAGAGAGGTCTGTCCAGAGAGACAGCTCAGAAAGTCAGGGCGGGAGGGCAGGGGCCTCCCTGGGGGTGAAGGTCAGAGATGACTCAGAACCAGCCCCCGAGTGGTCATGTCATCTCAAGTGGTTGGAGTGATTTTCCTTGTTGATGCTTTCTTGTGAAAAACTTAATTTATAACTTCTGGGCCTGCTTTTGAAGTTTTTCAAGTACACAAACAGGTTTTCCTTCCAGATTACAGAAGCAGCACATGCTCGCCGTCCCAGGGCGACGGCCCTACCCAGTCCCGCTGGCGGAGGAGGGAGGGGAGGCGAGGCCCAGATGCCGCCCGCCGCCCCGCCTGGCACTTACGTATCTCAGCAGGGCCTCCTCTCCGAGGGCCCTCACCAAGCCTTTGGTGTCCATCTGCCCCAGCCGGAGCACGTAGAGGGGCCGCCCGTCTGCGGGGGGGAAGAAGGTCAGGCATTAGTGCCGGCACCAGCCCGCCACGGAGCCGTGGAGGCACGCCTAAGGCCCCCCACGAGGAAGCCTGCTCTCCCGTGTTCCAGCCGGGCTTCGAGCTCTCCTGGGGAGCAGCAGCTGGCTCCCGTGGGTACGGGAGGTTCCCCCAACCTTTCCCCCAAAACACGGTAAAAGGAAAAACAAAAGCCACCGACAGAGCAGGCAGCAGGGTCATGGAGACAGCTCCGCTCTGCACGGGTGAGGGCCCAGCCCCTCACTTGCACACCCGGGGGCTGAGCAGAGAGAGCCCCGACTCCCAGCGGCAGGGGGGCAGCAGGGGGTCCAAACACGGAGTGCCCTTTCATTCCCCAGGTCAGCCAAAGTTCAAGGTCAAGAATGTTAAAAACCCAGCTTCCTGTAACTCCTACCCTCAGAACCAGGATGAATGAGGCCTTCCTAGAAATCTTAAATCCGCAAGGGCCGGACAGGTTGGCTCTGCTTCCTTCCGGCCTGGAGGGCTGGTGGGAAGGGCCTGAGGGGACCCTGACTCCTCATATAAATCCCTGTCCCCGTGAGCCAGCTCCACAGAGGGGAGGGCAGATGGCCGTGGTGGCCAGCGTGCTCCTGGCGTCAGCGGTTCCCAGACCCCAGCCGCCAGGGAGCAGCAGAAGGGGCAGGGACGGATTCTGCCCCGAACAGACCCTGAGACGCCCTCTGCTGTCAGCGGAGGGCTGGGGCGGCCCCCCCACCCCCGACACGGGGCCCACACTCTCCCACCGTCCCCACGGTGGGGACAGTGTGCCTCTGAGGACAGCGCGGGTCCAGGGCTGCTCTACCTAACCCGGAGGGCGTTTCCGGGCTCCCACACCTTGTGAACGGAAGGCTTATGAACACTCTCTCCCGACCTGAGCGAGGTACATCTGTTAATGTCTCACTGCCAAGTTTCTCACTCTCCCGAGGGCCGTGAAGTGGAACAAATGCGTGCTCCCAGTGGGGATTCACGGAGCTGCAACCCACCCAGAGGAGCACGAACGCCCGGGTCAGGGACACAGCCCAGTCCAAGCCGCTGCAGTGACCGGCCCGAGGGCCACACACCTGGGCCCCGAGGAAGACGCCAACAGCCCAGCCCTTCCTGCCTCCCCAGGGCTGTTCCCAGGGGGGTTAGGAGTGTGGGTGCGCTGTGGGGAGACCAGCACCCACTCGCTCGGGCGGGGGTGGGGGGCCACGCATGCAAGGGCCCGCTGCACCCTGCGGAAGGAAGTCCCCGGGCGGGCCCTGGACACCGTGTCCCCGCACCTTTGTCATGGTGGTGCCAGCCTCCCGCGTAGTAGTCCTGGAGCACCTGGGGCGGGCGCCAGGTGTCCAGGATGTAGTCCACCTGGTGCTGCTTCCGCCAGGTCAGGGACTGGCACATGACCTCCCGGGCCTTGTCGATGTTGAAGTCCCGGGCACGCAGGAACCGGAGAATGTGCTCGTCCTTCGGGATCTGCGCGGGGAGAGACGTTTCTGAGCAGCGCTCCGGGTGCCAGGGGACGGAAAACGCGTTACCAAGGGAATAAGACTCTGAAACTCTCACTTCTCGTCGAGAGTGGGCTGCTGTCACCCCACTATTTAAAATTAGCCTCAACGCTTCAGAAAAGCAGCAGCACTAGTCTGAGAATCTTCACAAAAGGAAAGTTCCACTTCCTTCTCAGCGCAGCAGAGTGAAAGCATCAATTTCTTTTTTCTTTTTTAAGATTTTTATAAAGATTTTACTTATTTATTTTTAGAGAGGGAAGGGGGGGAGAAAGAGAGAGAGAGAGAAACATCAATGTGCGGTTGCTGGGGGTTATAGCCTGCAACCCAGGCATGTACCCTGACTGGGAATCGAACCTGCGATGCTTTGGGGCATCAATTCCTTAAACATCAAATGCTCTGAACCCCCCACGCCGACCTGTGCACTACTGCCATCGGTGCGCCTCCTGTGTGTGTGCGTGCATGTGTGTGTGCATGCATGTGTGTGTGCACGCGCATACTTGAGGGGTTAAAAAGCAGCGTCAGCTCTGCCGATGGTGGTGGCACTCCTCGCGTGCAGCAGCCCTCCCGAAACAGGTGCCACTCCCGACCAGCGGACGGGCTCACTGGCGCCGTCACTGGTCCCCACGGGCGGCACTGTGCGGGGAGGGGCAGCCGCTGGGGAAACAGCACTGAGACGGAACCCCTAGGAAAGCAGCGCCCCACAAAGACGTTTGGGTGAGTGAGAACCTGGGTTCTAGAGGCAAACGGCCTGGCCCCCGCCCCCGGCCCCGCCCCTCACGCGCCGTGAGACCCGCAGCGAGTCACTGGCCGTCCCTGCGCGCACTCTCCCCAGGGTGCCACAAGGGGTAAAAACCACGCCCACCGCACAGGGCTGCTGGCAGTGCTTCAGACCGACCCTGAAACAGTGTCCAGTGCATGGTCACTGCCCCAAAACGGCAGCAGTGCCCTGTCTGCAGCTGCGTTCTCGACAGGTGACACTGAGCCCGACCCTGCTCCAGTGACCAGCACAGACGACGAAGGAGGGCGGCCAACTGTGTGCGACGCCCGGCTTCTCCCCACTGAGCGCGGCCAGGAGCGAGCTGGGCACCCAAACGCACCTCCGCCCACCACCGGGCCCCAGCAGTGCGCGGCTCTTGTAACACCTGGTTCCTCGTGAGGCCAAAGCCCACCCGAACCTCCAAATCAAAGCACAAACATCTCCAGCCCCTGCACCATCGGTGGACTCCTTCCAAAGCTGCCACACACGTGACTGTCCCCCCGCAAGGCAGCTCCGTGAGACCCAGAGAGGCACAGCCAATTGCACGCAGAAGGGCACCACGAGCTGCCACCGGGGACTTGACGTCACCCCGAGACACAGATGCAAGGACTTCTAGACCGGGAGGGACCGTGCCAGCTACGGCAACTGGAAGCAGTGACTCCGAGGACTGCGGACAGGCGGGGCCCTGGTTCCGGGGATGGGGACGGCACCCGGCTCCCGCCCCCGGGGCCGAGTCTCACTTTGCCCTTGTGCGTCTCCTGCAGCCACTGGCGAAGCCGGATCAGGCAGCTCTCCTGCAGGGGGGTCAGGTCGCCCAGGTACCTCTTGATGTAGTCCGCGTCCAGTTTGTCTGGAACGGAGGCCACAGGAGGTCATTTACAACGAGAACGCCGGAACCGGAAGCATCCCAGAGTCCTGCTCAGGGCAGCTGAGGAGCGGTCCAACTCCGTGCCGCCGCAGGGGCTGCAGACGGCCACCGGCCACCCCGGAGCCCTCAAGGACAGCCGCTCCGTCAGACCCGGACCGCGCCACTGGCAAACTCGCTGGATCTGCTGTACTCCCCGGCTGCCAGCAGGCCACCTCTGCCAGTAAAATCTCAGCACCGCTCCTGATAGAACGACAGCTCTACCAGGTACTCAGTGACTTTTAACTCAAAGTTATATACAAAACTGTGAAATAAATAATTCTAGACCTGTTCTGAGTGGAGCTGTGCTCAAGAACACAGGAAACCTCTTTTGTGACCCAGTAACGTCAACCGCAAAATGAGGTAAGAAATTAAGTGCAGCGAAGGAAAGTCACAGGTGCAGAGACGGCGTGCACCCTGAGCAGGGAAACGCCCGCCGCCCGCCGAGAGCTGGCGGACGGCACTGCCTGGCTGCAGAGCAGGACGCAGCGCAAGACCAATCCCCAGGGTTTGACGAGGCTCCCGAGTGGCAGAATTTTCTTGTGTTTTCCTACTTTCCAATGGGTGTCGCTCTGAGAAACAAAAAAGGGTGTGCAAGTGTGTGGGTGCGTGTGCAAAACACGAGAGGCAGCCCAGCACGGCAGCCGGAAGCCCCGCCACCCACAGTGGTGTGGCCCTGTGGGAGCCCCCCTCCCTCTGCGCCCCGGGGGGCGTCCCCTCCCCGACAGGCACCGTTGTCACCGGCGCTCACGGAGAGCCAGGCCAGCGCCTGACACCCAGCGGCACGGACAGTGCCAGGCCGGCCGATTACGTTCCAGACACTGGCTGCTGCCCTACCCTCGCTCATGATGCCTCCACCTCCATAAAACAAACAAAACACAGGTCCTGCCGTCACAACTTCACGTAACCCTCCCTGCCCTAAAACAAAAATCTGTTTCTCCCCTGTGGGGAGAAGTCCACTGTGTGACGGGTTCTGCAGGCCCGAGGAAGAGGGCCCGCACCGCGCTCTCCTCCTCCCTCAGGTAACGTCTCCCGTCCCACGGGGGCCCGAGTGGCAGAGGGACCAGACGGCACAGGAAGGCGCGGCACCGGCCAGTCCTGCCCTCGGGGCGAACCCACCGTCAGGGGTTCCCGGGGCCGGCTCCGCGGCCCCGCTCGCGCTGCCCAGGGCCTCGCCGCTCAGCCCTTCCTTCTGCGCAGCTTCTGGGAGCGCGTCGGCCAGCGCCGCCGCTTGCGTCCAGCAGGAGGCGGCCGCCTCGGCAGAGGGCGCCAGGCGGGGCGGGGCCCAGCGGGGCACGAACGTGATGCCTTCCTCTTCCAGCTGGTGAAGGTAGTACTCAATGATTTCTTTTCCCTTTAAAACAAAACCAATGTCAAGGTTAGTATGCACTGAACGTTCCGTTATTCACCCCTCACAGGTTTTCACGACACTTCTGGAAACTGAACTGCTCTAGAATAAACACACAGAAAAGGCGAAATGCCTTTGCGTCCCTGTTTCCCACATGTCACTTCCTCCTCTCCAAAAGTCCAGGAGACAGCAGCTGAAGACAGCGACCCCCACGACTGATGGGGAGCCCCGATCCACCACGCTCCCACTCAGCGTGCGCTGTGTCTCCGAGTCCATCCCCACCGCGGCCCCAGAGGAGGGAGACGGCTTCACAAAGCCGGCCCAGCCCCACGCCGACACGCGTCGGAGCCCAGGGCCCACGGCAGCCGTGGGCAGCAGCACAGAAATGAGGAGGAAAGCTCTTCCATGGCAGGGGGACCCAACAATGGAGGCCGGGGCCCCCGGTCGGCCGCCCGGTCAGCAGGCCCCTGGTGGCACCCGGGCCGCAGCTCCGGCGCGTCCAAGCCCAGGACGCCGCGCCGGGGGCTGCACGCTCCTCCTCACCACCCGGCAGCCCCCGGTGTCCTCTGGGGCCCTGCTGAGCCTCCCCTCTCGGGGCCGGGAGGCTCGGGGAGAGTCGGAACCTCCCCCCTTCAGGAGCGGGCCGGGGTCCCTGACCCCCCGGCGCCAGCCTCTCCCGAAGACCGCCAGCTGGAGCGAGCCCAGGGACGCCTGCCCGCCCTCTGCCATGAAACCCGAGACAGACTCACTTTCTTGATGTTGCTGGTGTACTGTTTCATTGCGATCTTCTCCACCGTGCTTTCAAAGCCGAAGAAAGATTTGATGTCCAGACTTGCAGACTGTTCAAAGCAGGTCCAGTCTTCATTCTCAGGGTGGACCTGCAGGCGAGCGAGAAAACGTCCCACGAGTTAACCAACAGGTGAGAGTATCATTTGTCTGCTCCTCACCACCGGTCACCAGGAGAAAACACTTGTTTTACTAACAATGTTATTAGCACGAAAGCAGCAGACAGAAAAATTACAGAGGTTCAAAAATCATGAAAGGACTAAAATCATGTTTCTGGAATATTCTAAGCATGACTACACAAGGAGCGAGCTTCCTCGTCACTCTCGGGTCACCCGTTTGCCGTATTCACTGAGCGGCGTTCTCCCCACACAAAACAAAGACCCCTGCCCGGCTCACGAGGCTCACGGTCCAGCGGCAGGGGACCCCGGCCCCAACCGTGACAGGTGAGAAGGTGCGCCACCGTCGGAGGACAGTGTCGTGGGACACCGGCGAAGACGGAGCAGGGGTAGAACCAGGGCAGCAGGAGATGAGGCGCAGCCTGCAGGGGGGTTCGGCTCCAGCAAGGAGGGGGTCTGAGCGAAGGCGGGAGGAGGGGCGGGCGGGGGGCGGGGCACTACAGGCCATCACGGTGGCACGCCTGCACCGTCAGGCACAGCCCGGTGGGCGTGCGCACACCGATGGCAGAGGTATGACTTCCTGTGAGTGACATGCCGAGGTGCTGCCGGTTCTGAGCCCAGAGACAGTGTGACATGATGTGACATTCTGTGATTCTGTGAGTGGGTCACTCTGGAGCCGGGGCTGACACACCGCAGGAGGGCCAGGGAGAAGCCGGGGCCCGGGAGGGCACTGCCACAGCCGGCTGCGAGAGGTGCTGGGGCCGGTGGTGGTGGGCAGTGAAGGCGCAGGGCGGGCCGACGCGCGCGCAGGACGGCGGAACCCACACGCCCTGCGGCCGCCGCCCCGCGTGGGAAACGGGACGGGCGGCCCCGCGGGCAGGTGGGCGGGCGGCACTCACGGTGTAGCAGCAGTGCTCCCTGATGACCACCCGGTTGGCGAACGTCTCGTTGTGCGCCTCGATGTGCAAGGTGCGCTCCCGGGCGTTCAGGGAGTTTTTCTGGACAAAGTACACGTAGTCCACGCCCGCAATCTGTAAGAGGAGACCGAGAGGACGGTTCGTCAGCACCAGCCAGCCTCGGGGGGGGCGGGGGGCGCAGTGCAGTGTGGTGGGGCCCCCCGGGGGCCCGCGCTCACCTTCTTCAGCAGCCGGGGCGCGTCGATGTCCAGCTTGCAGCGCCTCTCCACGACGTGAATGGCCCCGTCCTCACTCCGGAACTCATTCACAATGTCGCTGTCCACGAACATGGGAATCAGAGGGCACGTGGGGAACCTCCTCTCGTAGGCCTGGGGCACGGTGGACGGGAGAGGAGTCGACAGCTCGTCCCTGATGCTGTCCTGGGGTCGAACTGCCCCCACGGACACGTCCCGGCCGCCCTCGCCCGCCCGCCCCCAGCCTTCACGGGAAGGAAGACCCCCGGGGTCCGGGGACCGGGAGCCTCGGCAGAGCAGAGAGGCCGGTGCTCCCCACGCGGGTGCCGAGGTGCCACGTGACCCTATCCAAACCCCAGCCTGACGTTTGCCTGTAGCTACAGACAAGGTTTTAAAATCTACACAGAAAGGCAAAAGAATGAAAACAAGTTTTGAAAAAGAGTACACTGGGAAGAATGGCCGCATCGCCGTATTCAGGCCTGCCGTCCAGAAGCCACGGTAACACAGACCGTCCGGTGATGACAGACAGACAGACAGACAGGGAGATCCATGGACGGAGCGGACAGCCACGCGCTGACCCACCGACGGGCCCCGCTGACTTCTCGACGAAGGCAGACATCCCACAAGCATCGAGGGGGACACTGCACACCCCCGGGGACACAAACGGGTCTCGCCTGAACCCCACCACACCGGAGCGGAGACAAACTCTGCAGGGATCACAGAGTCACACATCCGTGAAATAGTCTTGGAATGACGAAATTGTAGAAACAGAGGAGGAATACATCCGTGGTGGCCAGGGGGGAAGGGAGGGGAGGGGCTGGAGGGGAGTGGGCGTGGCTGTAACGGGGCACCAGTGGGGGGGACCCTGGGGAAGCGAGCGCCCTGGATCTGGGGTGTCAGGTCCCAGCTGTGGGGGTGGGCTGTGGAGGTGGGCTGTGGGGGTGGGCTGCAGCTTCTCAAGGCGCTTCCTTCCGCTGGGGAAACGGGGAAGGAGCACATGGGATCTGTCCCCATCACCGCTTGAGAATATACTACTGGCATGTTGTGAGCCTACAGTTATCCAGAGACAAACAATTTAGCCAAACAAAGAAAGAAAAAGACTCGCTCCACAGAGGCAGGTCTGTCCGGGAAAAGCCCAGCCATCGTAAATGTAACGAGAACTGTCTGAGTGACATCGATGCGCCTGGCAGCCGAGGCGAGCGGACTGGAATGCGCACGCGTGAACAGTGACGCCTTCACTGCACTGGTCAGTGGGGGCGGGAGACACTGCTAAGTGAGCGTGTGTGCTGTGTGGCCGTCACGTGCAAAATGAGTGAGTAGGGCAATGAATCTCCACCAAATTCTGCGTTAAGCTTGACATTCCTCATCGGAAACAAGTCGGCTGATTCAGCAGCCGCAGCCACAGCCGCGGGCAACTGGTGACTGGCAGCTTCCTCACAACGACACGCCCGCTCACGCACCACGTCTCGTGCAAAGTTTTTTGGTGAAACATCAAATCACCAGGTGACTCAGCCCCGCTACAGCCCAGATTCGGTGCCCTGCAACTTCTGGCTTTTCCCACAACCAAGATCCCCTTCGGAAGGGGAGAGACTTCAGACTGTGGGTGAGATTCAGAAAAACAGGACAGGGCAGCTGACGGCGCTGGGAGGACTGGGTGAGGTCCCCTCGTGCCCACTTTGAAGGGGACCGAGGCGTCACTGTCCTACGTACAATGGTTCTTGTATCTTGTGTATCTTCTTCAGTAAATGTCTCTATTTCTCCACGTTACACGTGTGGACACCTGGACGCGCCGCGTGCAATCACCCCAACTTTCAGAGAGCGCACGCAGGCGCCAGAGGAGCTCACCCCGCAGCAGTCCGTGACTCCCGAACTGAGCCCCTGCTGCGTGCCCCGCCCCCCGCCCCCCCGCCACACGCTCCAACAGACGGAGCGTGCTCAGTGCTCAGTCGCCCCAATCGCAGCACTGGGGAGTCTCGGCGAGGCTCTCCTGCGTGCCGGTGCGAAGTGCCGCACACGCGGCAAGTCCAGGAAAAACGACACGGAAAACCGTCGGCGCGGCTTCTGCACGGCACCCCACCGAAAGCACTGGCTTCGTGCAGTGCGCCCCAGCGCCACGGCGCGCCAGGAAGCTGAGAGCACAAGGGCTTCAAACAAAACAGTCCCTTTTAAGTTACACACAGGGCAGAGGAAGCACTTACCGAGAAGCAACCTCGGCTGGGAGCTCTCCTTTCAAGTACCTACGAGATCATTTTCAAAGCACCTGCACCATCGCTCAAACTCCGGAAACACAGCGGCCAGCCAAAGGCACTACCCACGCGGCCCAGCCCTGAACCTGAAGCAGTGAAAACGCCCCACTCCCAGGAGACGCCGCCGTCCCCGCAGACTCGGATTCGCAGGCGTTTTCCTTCTGCCCTGGAAGCCCCAAATGGCTGGCAGGCAAGGTCCCAGGGCGACTGGGCGACTGACCCAGGGACTCTGTCGCTATGAAAAGGGGTCAGCAAGCACCTGCCTTCCTCACCTGTTCTGGGGTGCACCCGTCACCCTGCAGCAGACGCCTTCTGCGGCCCCAGGGGAGAGCCCAAGCCCCGCCCCCCTGTGTGCCCAGGAGAGGAAGCACCTCCCCCGAGGACCGACAGAAACAAAGGTGTTATTTCGCAGCCGTGTTTTCATTACGGGACGAACGCTCACTAAGTAAACCGGTGAGCCCAGCATTGTGTCTCTGTGCTCCCTGACCCAGGCCTGCCTGTCAGAGAGGCAGGAAGGTTAATGAACTCTGCGTGCTGCTGGCACAGAAAACCCCAACATTCTAGAAGGTTATGGAGAAGGAAGACCGCAAGAAGTTGACGTAACTTTTAGTCTCTGAAATCCTCATAGGTGCCAGTCCCCTGGTTTTCCAGCACGAACTACAACTTACGACATTCTGCAGCCTGACAAAACAGAAGCATTCCAGTCCCATTGAAAACATCAATTATGCCCCAGCTCTACGCACAGGAAGGACCTAGAAGTACTGACAACCCGGCAGCAAAGAGCAAACTGGGCACCCGGACCTTGGTTCCTGAACACCGGTCTGCTAGGGAGGAACCCCTCCTCTCGGGGAGGCAGCCGGTCACAAGTCTGGAGCAGGGAACGGTCGAGGTGAGCCCGAAGTGTCTGTCCCCAGAAAACAAGGAAATGCCAAATAGTCTGCAGTGACCATGCCAAAAGGCCGTAGGAACCAACTTGAACGGGGTCCCGCTCCCCGATTCTGGGATAATTTGAGCCCCAGAAAGAAAACCGGTAAAGCGCTACGAGCGATGTAACGCTCCCCAACACAAAGGGGCCGGGACGCAGCCCGCTCAGAAAGGGGCCACTGCTGACCACGAACAGGGAGGGCAGAACCCGGCTGCTGGAGGGGACCTCGCCGTGCCCTGCGGTCAGCCTGCTGCAGACTCTCCCGCAGGAAAAAGGGGGCAGTCCCAGAGGGACAGAGGTGCCTTTTCGGCGGGAAGACCTGGCAGCCACCGAATGACGGACCGCGACCCCCTGACAGTTTGGCGCGGTGCCAGGGGACTACCCGCGACCGACGTCAGGCGTCGGGGCGACGAGCCGGCGAATGCAAAGTGGGGGCCACGCCACGAACCACCAGCCCGGACTCTTACAAGAGAAAACACGCCAGTCTCTCGAAAGATGGGCAAAAAAGCGGGATGCTGTCCGACGTGAAGGCAAGGAGCCGGCACTGGGGCCGGGTGAGCCCAGCTAGGAAGAGCAGCTGAGGGGGCGGAGCGTGCCCGTGCGGCACGTCACGTAACGCCCCCACGTGGCACGGTCATGTAACGCCATTCCCTTGGTGCCGCGTGACGCGGGGGTGGCGGGGACACGCTTTCTAGGGGGCTGTCTGCTCTCGGGCAGTATCTGCCTCGGTGTTTAGCACCAAAGTGTTACGATGGCAGGGTACTTTCAAATGGTTCTGCAGAAAAGAAAACATGGGTGTGTGTGGGGGGGGGGGATGAGGCACTGTGTTAAATTCACCTGGGTGACATGTATACAGCCATTCACTTCTTTTCAACTGTTTAAAAACAGAAGCTTCTCAAAATAAAAAGTTGCTGGGGGGGGGAGTCCACATGTAAACTAAGTGATTAAATATGACACAGCCACATTTTACCCATGAAAATGTATGCAAACTTCAGGTCCACCGGAAGCGCTAAGGCCAGGGCGGCAGGTCAGGCGCATGGGGCCCCCACCCACCGCAGCTCCGAGGAGGGGCCAGCTCGGAGAGCGGGAGCTCCTGGGATCTGGGGGGCGGCCGGCGACCTGGGGTTCTGCGTGAGGCCTCCCCGTTTCTCAGGCCCTGCCTGGGCCACAGAGCCCACGGCCTCCACGGTCCTCTCTGCCCTCAGAAACCTCTCCGGGGAGCCCCCCCCCCCCCTTCAGCGCTCACTGGCTCAAATCACTGCATCCAAAGAGCAGCAGCGGTGTCCCAGTTCTGCTTGTGTCTTCACGAGCTATCTGCAATGTTATCAAGACATCTCCTGGTCACGCTCAACACGTGTGAAACCGAGAAAAGGCCGAGCCCGGCGGCGCCCCGGCAGTGAGTTCTCCAGCAGAGGGGGCGTGTGCTTCCATGCGCCCCCGTGCAAGGAAAACCTGCTCTCGGGAGAGAAAGAACTCGCGCGATCATCCGCTCCGTCTTTCCGTTCAGCACAGTGGGAGTCTCTCAACAGTGAATACAGGACGAGGGCCTCGCCCGCCGCCCCCACGGCGGAGCTGCCGCCTGGGCAGCAGCTCGCTCCCACCTTCCCTCCTGCCTTCGCCCACTCTCCCTTTCCAGAGGGACCCCTGCGCCTGCAGCTGGGAGCCTGGCAGGAGTGCCTTCAGGTGCCCGCCAATCTCTGAACGCAACTGTGGCATGAAAAACTTGAACTGCGTGACAGAAAACCATATTTTAGTGAAGACATTTCAACCTGAGAATTAATGAGCTTATTACTGCATCCTGCCAGAAAACCCGTTTAAAAGAAATCTCACTTCGAGGACCGACCTGTACACAGCACAGGTTCACATGCAAACCGCCCAGCAAACTGAGGCAGCTGCCGCCTGAGTCTGGAGCGGCGGCGGCGGCACTGGACGTGACTGCCAGCTCGCTCACAGGCAGTCTGGCT